GACGATTGGTGAAGCACATGGCGTGATTCAATATGGCTTCGGTCTTTACAATTTACATTTGCACTTTGCCAGGCCTGTTGCTGTTGGGTCTCGTAAATTTTCGATTGGTGGGTCGTTCTTTTGTGGTTACGGTAAACGTATGAACATTGGAAAAAAATTTGTTGAATGCTGCAAAGCAGATGACAATAAATCTGAGGCTATTGTCGCAATTGAACTTTTAATAAATCTTATTAAGTGTAGCGATGTTCTCACGGTCCGGGGTCTTGACGATATGATCAACGATGCTGTCAAGCAGATGCGTCAAACAGATAAGAGCAATTCGTCAGTTAAATCCGCATGTGAACTGTTTAAACGTTTTATTACACTTGCGGTTTTGGATACTGTGGGTGATTTTGATGGGTGCAAGAAAGTGATCTTGGAACGTGCTGATGTTTTCCTGAAAAAGGTATGTTACCATGTGCAAATAGTGTTGGTTCTGGTCTTTAGCAACTTTTTTTGATGCACTTGTCGTGTAAATTTAAGCAGTGTAGAAATACCATTCCTTTCGACAGTGAATCGTTGAGGCTAAAATGGTTTTACTTGATCGGTGAGCATAATTTTGGAGCGGAATAAAAATATGTTTCTCATTGACCAGGACAAAACAGCTTGTACCCTGTTAGTGCTGAATACTTAGGAGTACAGCTTGTATAGTTTTCTCCCAGTTTCCGAATCTCGTTTGAACTGGAATAATAGGGACGTCATTATTTGTTTTTGGCAATCGGATGATAATTGTACCATTTTCCTCAACTTCTTAGCGCTTCAATTTTAGATCTCTGGATATCGGCAGCTAATCGCTAAAAACGCAAGCCTTCTCTTCCCTGACAACGCCCGAATACTAATCAACTCAAAATCTCGTGTTGTTATCGACGCCTTGGCGTATCTGGTGAATTCTTCACCCAACCGTCGACAAATACACTGCTATGTGACCAAATCCATGCCAAGTGCATCTGGTATACAAATGGTTAATGAGTTGCTCAAGCGCGGCGTCTCTAGCACCCTTATCCCAGACACCGCCATCGCTTACTTAATGCCGCAAGTGGACGCTGTTGTAGTGGGGGCCGAGGCTGTTGTTGAAAGCGGAGGTGTCCTGAATGCTCTTGGCTCTTGCACAATGGCCATGATTGCCCATAGTCTCGGGAAACCTGTCTACGTATTGGTGGAGTCGTTCAAATTTCTCCGAGTCTATCCGCTCGACCAGCGCCACATACCTGACGACCTAAAATGGAGAGCCTCCAAATTACGCGAGATCTCTCGCGTATCCATTGGAGAATGTCCCCAAGAGCCGACGGAACCACACGCTTCCGATCCATTTGAAGAAATGAATGATGCTTGGCACAAGGTGGAAAGCCAAAGAGTTTCTATAATTGAAAAGGATATACCATTCATTGATTACACAAGTCCATTATACATCACAGCTCTGGTTACTGATTTGGGAATATTAACACCTTCTGCAGTCAGTGATGAACTCATTAAGTTATACTTGTGACTTCCAATGAATAAATATTTTCCCAAAGCTTTTTTTCTATTTTTTATTCGTTTGCAAATATTTGTCTATACGGATTTCCAATTTAGGTGAACTATGGGTGTTCTTTTCCTGCTTTTCTTTGTTCTCGTGGCACATGCTTCGAGTTCGGCGAATAATACCCAAACGCCCCCTATTTCTCGATTACTCATCCTTTTTCTTGACGGATTGCGGTGGGACTATCTGCATTCAACTGATGCTTCAGAAGGAATTGAGGAAATACGTACCCATGGGTGCCATGTGTCTCACGTGAAACCAATTTTTCCGTCCAATTGTCATGCGAATCTCCACGCACTCTTTGCAGGTAATGAGTCTTGAGTATATGCAAACGCCTCCACCATCCCACACTGTAATTAAAGCCCTGAATCTCGGTTTGTTACTTCGTAGGCCACAAGGCGGCTCACCCGGACTCATTCAGTGATAAATTCGATCCAAATTACACACACTCTGAGCTTATTTGGAACAAAGCTGCTGCACGTGTAAGCTTCTGAGTCCTTATCTGCCTCTTATCCCTATACCCTTTTTAATGCTAATTTTTTTCGCAGGGCAGGAAAGTGAAGCTTTATCACTTTCCCTTCTGCTCAAACCAAAGCCTAATTGGAGGGGCGAATTCACCTCAATTCGAATGCCTCCAAATGTCAGTTGAGGCGCACCCGGCTCTCACGGAGACATTAGATGGTGTTTTGGAAGCCTTTGCAAACCGTACTGTGGATTTTGCTGGTCTGTTTCCTGTGTTTCCGTCGTTTCATGCTATCACCCCATGACTTCATTAAGTTGTTGTAGACCCCAGCATGTGGTCTAGAACCACGCTGGGGCTACTGCGTTGAATCTAGTCTGGTTACGCTACCTTGAGTCCTCTCGAAGACGAAAAATACCGAGGAGGAGAAAGCACAACCGGTTACTAGACAACTCAACCTAATTGTGTTGTGTTGACTGATACAGTTGAGTGGAGTAGTAAAAATACAGACGTCTGATTGGTGGTGGTGGTGATGGTGCATACGGAGGGGTGAATGAGCAGGCGGTCGCAGCGACTGACGCGCACGCCATGTAAAGGGGAGCACGTGCGTGAGGCCGCGACGATCGGGTTATTGGGCGTGAATCAACACACAGACCCGGACCCTTGTGTAACTTCATCAGTCTTGATCCTAATGTTGTTTCTTCATTATTCTATTTTAAAGTACATTGAAAGCTAGGCGGTGTGACTAGTAGGAGCTTAGCCCTTCGTGGAATCAATTCCGCCGTCTGTACTTGGTAATTCAAACCAAGTGGAAGACGGTTGCTATTAGGATCAACTGGCAACGTGTGTGATTGATATTCGTTCTGTCAAAGGTAATGTTTTTGGTATAATCAACTCGACGTTAACGAGAGCCGCTTTAACCACTTTTGCGTGCTTCCTAACCCTACCCCTGCCATTGTAACTTAAAGCCAGTGAAGGGAGTCACTTTCTCTTATCTTCTTGCCTTTTTTTACACTGAAGCAATCTACTACGGAGAAATAGATCGTGCTGCTCATATCTACGGTCCATCTTCTGACAAGTTTAGAAAGTATGCGGGGATCACTGAAGTGAGTGAAGCTGTCTCCAAAGTCGTTAATTCCCTGAAGCTGCGGTCGGACTTGGCGGGCGTGAATTTTGTCGTTGTTGCTGATCACGGAATGACTGATTTCAAGAAATCCCTTATGTTGGATCGTGCCTTCAAATGGTAAAGCCTACTTCTCATTGTCTAGTTTTTTTGGATTTTCGATAAAATGTAGCTTACAAATAAATATTCTGGAGCTCATTTGATCACAATTTCAAAATATTGCCTATTGGTTATAACCACATATGCTTCGTCTTGCGCGCCCACAATCAGCACATTTGTTTCGTTTCAGGAACTTCATCACCAATGCCGTGAATCTCGGTACCGCAGTCGCCCTATGGCCCAATCATGAGTTTCAAGAGGAGGTGGGTTTCACACCCTTCGAACTACGTTATCGTCGACCACGCATTCTTACTCTCAATTGTTGTGATTTCACGGGTTTTAGTTAACCTCTGCCCTAACCAATGAAAGCCATTTCCGAGTGTACACCTCGCAAAACCTCCCTGTAACATCGTGGGGTCCACTAACCTCAAATCTGCCTCCTATTCTGCTGGTTGCAGAAGCCGGCTACGTATTCCACTCGAATCTCTATAGCCTCGTCAGTCTAGACCACTTCTTCGCGCAAAAGAATTTGCCGGAACCGCGAGGCGTTCACGGCTATCCACCAGATGTAGACGACATGCACACTGCGTTCTACGGCTATGGACCCGCCTTCAAGTACGGATGTGGCAAGTCCATTTCTGCTGAGGAATACCCCTTCACCTATGATCTCTTCCCGATACTCAGTGACGTGCTTTTTGGACCCACCGAAGGCATATCGAGGATGGATGGCGCATTCGACTGGGGTACCCGCTGGGAACCATACATATTATTCGTAGTTATTTTCTGCATTTTCTCAGTTGTCTTGCTTCTTGCAATCACTTTTATACGCCTATCTCAAATTAGCAAAAAGATTGCACGTGGGACCTCCGACCGCCATGATCTCATCGACACCGATTACGACGAGAAGGTCTGATCGCCAGCAATCCGCATTTCTCCCGTCCTGTTAGTTACCCAACGTTTGAACGTTTTTTTTTTGTTGAAGCTCAGTCTTGTTGTCGTAGGTAAAGCATCGTTTTAATAAAGCCTAGCTCAATTACTCACGTTATCTTCTTTGCGTGTTCAGAACCGTGTGACGCAGCAGACAACTTCGCGGTGGTGTTTGAACTGTCAAACCCTTGGTGTCGCAATTTTGTAGCGTTCGTCGTTACGTCGATCACGAAACCCTAAGCTTCTAGCCAAATGATTTGAGAGTTTTAAAATTGACCTGTATCTTGTGGTATAAAGCCGTCGACGAGTGCAACTGTATCAATATAGTTAAGCAGATACAACTAATTGTGGTTCTCATCAAGTTATCGCCAGTGCTTTGCACTTCTTTCGGATTGTGAAAAATGCAGGTCAATGTGATAAGTGGCAGTTTTTTCATGGTAGCCATATCCTCCGGCGGGATTTAGTAGAGTAACCGGAGTGTGCGAACAGCGGATTCCTTGAACGCACCCTACTTGTGACACTGCATAGGCATTGCTTGTGCTACTTTAAGCCCGAAGACGAAACGATTCCGAAGAAAAGGTACACCTCGGCTTTAATGTAATTACGGCTGTACAATAAGAACGGATACCAGAGACAAGGGACACGATGATGTTCAAGTTAAAGCATTGGCGTCGGCGTGGGAATCAAATCATTACTTCATTCAGTGATATTTGGGGGTTTGCTAAAAGAGACAAACAGAAAATCGGGGCTGAACGCGTCTCAAAACTTGATCTCGCTTAATTTTTAGGCTCAATCGCATCATTTTCATGAAATCTAACTCTTGAATTAGTTTTGTCGAAGATGTAGGCTTTAAAATCATTTAGCTATCCTGTGCAACGCTAAGGAGGGATAACTTGGAAAGGTGTACATTCTGACCCGTTGCTAAGTTTCAAATCTACAAGCTCAATCACGCGTGGCGGTTAGCCTAAGCTGCCAGGACTAAAAACACGGGACATGTGGAGGGTCACCTTCGCGGACTGTAGACAGGGGGAGGGCTGCCGTGTTCGGGAGGAGGTAGGTCGTCGGGGACATCATTTTCACCTGCAGAGGTGCTTACAACAATGAAAGAAACTGGGCGATGAGACTTGTTTCCTCGTCGCGCCGGCGGGGGCCGTTGGTGTGGAGGATCCCGTGGCCCCTGGGACCGCAACTCGCGGACATGCGAGGGCAATACAGGCTGGGGGTAAACGACCACGCTCACTGGACGAGGTTTCGGGTGGCTTCTAGACAAGTAACACAACGCAATAATGATCAACATGAAGGGACGATGTTCGTTTGTGTTAGCACAGAGAATGGTCCGGCAACATCGAACCGATCGTTTACACGATGGTGATTGGTGGAGGTGGATATGCGGTGACACCTACAAACTCCGGTTCGATTTTGCGATCAAAGTGTGTTAGATTGATTTTTTTCAAGAAAGTAAGTAGATTAGTAAATGAGACTTCCCGAGATTACATGACCTTATCTTGTCCCAACACATCACATACTTGTAAAACGAATGGCCGCACAAGCACCTGGGACCTCGCGACCACGTTTTGAAAGTACTCACTGCATGGTTAATGTACATACCAAAACGGAGTTTACAGTCGTTGGCTTTTGCAAAACCAAAACCAGCACAAAGACCCACCTTTGGTTAGCCTGGGTTCGGTTGACGCCACGGTTTCGATGGTAGGGCACCGGTACTGAGGAGGCGGGAATGAGCTCGGAGACGTGTCTTTCCACGCCATTGACTGGATCAATCACCCGCTGGCGTTTAAGCCGAAAGGACGGAACGAAGTGCTCCCTGGGCAGGCCCTGGTAACCCACGGCACTCGGGCGCGGTCGCTCGGGGGGGCGCGAGGGCGGGACTCGGGGCGGCAGTGGGTGGCCGAGGGGCACGCCTCGGAGGTAGTAGGCGCGCGACGACGGTGTCCGATAGCTGCACAAACGCATGAAGATTATCATCGATGCTACTGATGCGAAACTTATCAGCAGCATTGCCCACCAATGTACCTACGAGAAATAAACAAAGCAAGTGAGGTGTGTGCACGCGCAGGTGACCTAATAAGATTAATTTTTGTCATGATTGGGCTCAATGAAATCAGTGACTGAAGAAGATAGAAGGACAAAGACGTGCTAGAAGTTTTCCGAATTGAACGTTACGGATAGTGAGGAGCTTTGTTCTAAACCATCTGTTTCGGAGCAATTCAAGGACACGTCGGGAACTCCGGTAGAAATGATACGACACTCCAAATTTACTCAATATCGACTTGTTATTGAAGAGTGTAGGGGATTAACTAACACCAGAGTTAGAGACAAGGCAGGCAAACAGATATGAACCAGAAATCAGTGATTTGCAAGTACGTTCCCTCCCTCCGAACCGGTGGATATGATTAGGACTGATTAGGACGTCTTCAATGATACAACCGGGACTGCAGATATACCTTGTGTGGATATCCATCCGACTGTGCTCCATCTAGGGCCAAATCAGTTTGAAGGACATGAAACCCACTCTTAGCTTTTAAGTCTACTTTGCAGCCTGTTTGAGGGGTGGAAGCGACTAAAAGCCACAAAGGTGGGTCGAAATGCCTTCCGGAAATGCGTGAGTAGACGAGGAAAGAGGGAAAGGCTCACAGTGATCCACGTCTTGACCTTCCTGAGCATCTGCGGAGAGAAGAGGAGTTTGTGGAGACGAGCGAGCGGCCCCTGAACCTCGACGGAGCGACAGACGAAGAAGACGTCGCAGTAGCCACGGTAGTTGTCACACGGCGTGCCCGGCTGCAGACGCACCGCCCGACCGCCAGGCTGCTGCAGCAGCTCCGCCGCCAGACGCGGGTACGCTTCACGCAGACTTGCATCCTAACAAAAAATGCAGGAAGCAACGCAATCGCGTTTGGTAAAATCATGCCTGGTCACGTTTAATCCCAATCTGCATAGAGGCAATTAGTCTGGTCACGTTCCAACCCAGTAAAACGATACGAGGGCTGAGTGGCGAAATAATTCATGCACCAGAAGCGCTCCAAAAGGGAATGTGACCCAATCAGTCAATAGAAAATGGGAGAAATCGCAAAAATCTAGCCTCAATGAAATTATATTATAGGAACAAATAAACTTCTGTAATAACGTACCAAAAGAACCACATTTCCTATCCTTTGGGCTTGTGTAATACTTACAATATTTTAGCAGATTGTTCGTATGGCTTCTCGTTAAGTCAGTTCCTTGCAAAAGCCAATACTTCTGGAACTGTAACATCGAGCGAAACACAAAAATCCCAGCCGAAATCGGGATTCAGAGATTATTGACAGAATCCAGAGCCCGGAGTTTAGGACAATCATTAGTAACAGCGATTAAAATCACACTGTAGCCTATTTCGTGAATATGGTTTCCTCTTAACACACTTATGCTAGGCTACAGCTTAGGGCGCATTAGGCAACTACAATGAGGTGCTGAATGTGGAGATTGATTATTAGGAATGCCTCATGTATGAAGCGAAGTAACTTTAATGGATGGGACCGATTCATTCATAAAGATGATTCCTGATAAGTTAAATTCATTCGCCATCACTAGAAAACTAGCCTAACTACCCCCCCCCCCCCCCC